TCTCTTCTCCCTTCCCCTCCACCCTTCCTTACTTCTTTCTTTCCTTCCTTCCTTCTTTCTTTCTCACTATTTCTCTCCTTCCTTCCTTCTTTCTTTCCTTCCTTCCTTCTTTCTTTCTCACTATTTCTTTCCTTCCTTCCTTCCTTCCTTCCTTCCTTCCTATTTTTTTCTTTCTTTTTTCTCTCTGTCTTTTTCCTTCCTTCCTCTCTTCTTCTCTCTTCTTTCTTTCTTCCTTTCTCTCTCTTTCTCTTTCTCTTTTTTCTTTCTTTTTCTTTCATTTCCTTCCTGCCTTCCTTCCTTCCTATCTTTCTCTTTCTTTTTTTCTCTGTCTTTTTCCTTCCTTCCTCTCTTCTTCTCTCTTTCTTCCTTTCTTTCTCTCTCTTTCTCTTTCCCTCTTTTTTCTTTCTTTCTCTTTCTCTTTCTTTTCCTTCCTTCCTTCCTGTCTTCTTGCTTCCTTGTCTTCATTTTGTTCTTTTTTCCTTTCTCCTTTTTCGATCTTATATTTTAACCGTTCGCTAATTTTTATTTACTTCAATAAATAAAAATTAGTCAACGGGCAACAAAAGTGGCCCCCCCCACACCCCACATCCCTCCAGAGATTTGCACAACCGAGACTTCCCTTCAGTGCGGGCGTCACTCAATTTCTGCGCCGGGGAAGAGTCGATGACACCCCCTGCCCCAACCCTTCCGTGACTGGATCCTTGGCGAAGTCCCCGGACACTTTCCATGCCTTGTGGTCGAACTTCCTGACTTGAGTTTCTCCCTCGATCGTTGGCTTGGCGAGGACATCTAGGCGGGATCCCCGATCAGCAAGGGATCCCGTCTCCCTGGAATCTTCTGCTTCCCCTCCTGATAGGACCTCCTTCTTTCCCCTCCCAGGGACGCCAAGTGTGGGAAGATCCAGTGCCAGAGCCCGGCTGCCAAGCCCAAAGGGACCAACACCATCTCCATGGACACCACCATCCGGTTTAACGGGCAGGAGATCAAGTGCCGAGGAACGTTGGTCTACGCCACCAAGGACGAAGAGGGAGACCTTTCAGATCCGGGCCTTGTGATGACGGGCACCAAGTGCGGAGATGGGTTGGTGAGTCCTCAAGAGAAAGGAAAGAGTGAGCAGTATCTGCCTTCGGTCTTTCAGGTCCTGTCTCAGTGGGGAAATGCAATTTTTTTTTTACTACCGGTTCTGTGGGTGTGGCTTGGTGGGTGTGGCAAGAGAAGGGATACTGCAAAATCTCCCTTCCCTTCCCCACTCCAGGGGAAGGATACTGCAAAATCCCCATTCGCTCTCCACTCCAGGGGAAGGATACTGCAAAATC